TATAAACAAAAATATAAATATTTAATAAATTTTTTGAGAATTTAACTTAATTTAAAATTAATTTAGAGAAGATATAATATTTAAATAAAAGAGATAAATTCCCGTTGCTTGCTCTGGTTTAAACTCTAAACTAGTTCAAATCATTTTTTATAAGCTAGTATTCCAATCTCTTCCAATTTTATTTACTTAATATATATTCCTTTTTTTTTTCATTAAAAAGAGAAAAAACACGAGCGATATAATAAAAAAAGAGAAAAAAAAATGTTTTCATATGCTTTCATGCTCTTTTTTCCTGAGAAAGTGACAATTTACTATATCATTATGTTACGTTTTCAGATGAGATGATACCTATGCTTTTGCCAAATATGAAGCAGGGCGTCGACAGAAACCTGGGAACAAACAACTCTCCGAGAGCCAATATAACTTTTGCACCGAATACTCAGTCAAAGTTGTCAACTTTGATTCGACTAATCGGATCAGCGACATTGAAAGGTGTTCCATCACACGTACAAAAACACCATTTGTTGCTCAAGTGTGAATTTAATTCTGTTCAATTGCTGGGTCAGGTTATTCACATTTGGTATTTCCGCAGTACTTTTGAAAGAGAACGTAGATTACTACATACTGTTCCCACTCGTACTCCACTTGAGCAACAGGAAAGCCCTTCTCCTTCAGTGCATTGTATAGAGGATTCTGAAGAGTTAAGGCACTACATTGGGGAAACCAGAACCAAACCTTGTTTAAGGCAACGTTGTATGCGGGGTAAGAAAATTTATCAACAAAAGTAACTGGTGATCTTTCAAAGTAAGCCTTTTCAGCAGTTCCTACAATCAGTAATGGAAGAATTAACCAGTGAAGGATAAAATTTAAGAACAGGCAAAGCACGATATGGGAGTTTTCAAATTAACAACAAGATTATCAATGTAATGAGATTCAAATTTGTGAGTTTCTGCTGTAAACAAGCTTCAGCAGCTACCTGTGCATGGAAAAGTGCAACATAGATCATAAATCTGTTAGTTTTCTATTCATCGCTAATAGAATATATGAATATATATATATATATATATATATCAATATCAAACTTTAAGGAAAAGATTAGCAATGCAAAACAAGGGGTCATATTCCTTCTGAAATTTAACACTAATATGACATTACAATGTCCAATAAATCTCGATTATTTATATTAAAAATGTTCTAAAACTTGCTTTTACATTAAAGATATTTTCTTTTGGTTGCTTTAACAATCAAAATATTTAAAAAGAAAAGTGTAGGGCTTCTTCTAAGATGGAAATATCTCAGCAACCAATGAACAAAGCAAATGCTTCTAACAGCATGACTTCCAAGTTCCAAAACCAAAATTACTTTGAAAAAACTGCACAACGGATCAATTACTCACTCCATGCAAGGATGCTACAGCCTTGAATGTATCTCTCGGAGTACTATAAAAGGATTTTGCATTTTTTTTTTTTACTCTCTTTTGGAGATGGCGATGGCGGCGGCGGCGGCACGCTGTTTAGAGGGCATACCCGAATTTAGGGGGAAAAAATGTGGGAAATCCAGAGACCCAAAACTGAATTCGTTGAAGAAACGGTGTAGGAAGAATTTTTGTCGTTTTTAGTGGCGTCCCGAAGCTGTGGACTTGGGCTTCAAATGGATTAAAGCCTACACTTAAGCTTAAGCCCAGTCTAAGTTGACGAGATTTGACCGTTTTGAGCATCGTTCTGGTTGTCGGCAAAAAAGACAAAAGCCGCCCTTCTAGACTACCATCACTAGATAATTTTTCTATAGGAAAAAGTGTTTTAGAGATAGGAATCCATATCACAGATGTAGTTAACTTATAAATTTATCAAAATATTTTTAATGAATTTATTTTTTATGTTATTCTATTAATGATAATTATTGATAATTTAATAATTTAAGTACTTAATTTGCACTTTTATGTATAATTTGACATGTACAATATGAATCACTTTTTTATATCCACTATAATAGTAGAAGTATTATTTAATTAAATTAATAAAAATAAGATTACTACTGCTTAGGATTTTTTTTATTATTTATGATCAAAGTGTTTTAGTTCAGGTTTTTGCACATGTCAATATTAATCTTTTTTCATGCGATTTTAATGGTGTATTACCTATATTGATTTGGTATATTTAAAAATTTTATTTATTTAAATATTGATCTCAATACTTAAATTTTAAATTCAAGTTATAAAATAACACGCATTTATTAATAAATTTAATTATCAAACTTTTACAGTTTAGGTGGATATTGTCTCAAGAGGATCGCATGCATAGCTCTATAATCGTATTTTGTACGATGAGGATAAACATATGTGTGCTTTTTCCACCATTCTTTTTGTAATTTAGATCCATTTTGAATTAGTATTTAAATGCAATTGATAGCTCATGGTTAATACGTGCTGTTGTTGTTTGCACAATTAAATTTATTTGTTCAATTAAAGAACACTAACATTTAATTATTTTTTATTATCTAAAATAAACAGAGTTTAAATCCACTCTAGTCTTAAATAAGTTATTAATTATTTACAATTCAATAGTTTAAACGCTATTGCTAATCATATCATTTCAATTGCTAAGTTATAAAATCAATAGATGATAATTTATGTCAAATTTATACACCACACATTTAATTGAATTTTTTTTATTGATCTCTCAATAATCGATAATTATATTGAGTTTTAATTAATTCGAAATCGAATTACGACCTTACAAAGAAACACTCTCTTTAACACTTATTTTTTTATTCACAAAACTCAAATTCAAAATATCATTTAAGAAAAATCGAAACTGTTTCACTTGAACCAACAAATTGTTAGTATATTCAATTGAATTTGACTCTTCTTTATATATTAATGGAGAGAGTTATGGTATTACCTACCAATGGGCACATAATTTATTAGCTGTGGATGAGGTTCTTTGAAATTCATATGCAGCTGAAACAGACGAACCATGTCATTGTCCTCTCCTTGTTCAGCAATTTGTTTCTCTGCCCATCAACTCCTTTTCGAAATGTCCACATTATGATAAATTAAGGGGGGAAGAAAAAAAGGCAGCGGAATCTATCATGATCTTATAATTCAAGACAAGTCACAATTTTTATTACCCAATTGTAGGTTATAGGAAACAGGGTATGGTTCCTAACGGATAACTTCCGGTTCAGGAACGTGTCGGTGTAGGGGCATTTTGGAGCCATCTCACCCCTTTAAACCCCGAGCCAAGCTTGCCACAAAGGTTAACACTAGCAAAGTCGTAAAGTCGCTTAGGATGTTAGGAACCTCTCTAGTTAAGACATTGAACTCAAATTGTGTTTTTTTTTTTTTTTTTCCACACTATTAGATTTGTGAAAAAAAAGATGTAATGAGACGGTCAAGAGTCTAATAAAAGAATGTGATAGTATAATTTAAAATATATAACTTAAATAGTTAAATAAGAGATATTTTTTAAATTGAATAATTTTATAATTTAATATAAATTAAATTATAAAATAAAAAACTCTAATTAAAAATGCAAATCGACAAAACAATCACTTGGATTGTGAAATTATATTGGTCAATAAACTCAAAGTGGTTCTAAAAAGGGGAAGATGGAAAGTGAATTGTAGTTTGGATATTTCATTTCAAATGACTTTGTTTTTTAACAGAGTTAGGCTTTCCAAATTCCCAAGTTAAAAAAGGAGAAAAGAAAGCAAAGTTCGGCTTTCCCATGTTTTCACTTTCTCTTGAAATGTTCTTATCTATCATCAATAGTTATTTCTGTTAGATCAGAACAGCATTTTATTTCACATCATGTGTGGAATTGCTTAGAAAAACAATAAACAACAGCATGTGCCATAAAGTTTACTCTTCAAAAACAGGGCAATTGGCTAGGTTGGCCCTTTAATTAGGACATGACAATTGACCCAATCTAAGTATTTCATGTCGTGATGGTTCAAGTGCCTTTATCTATTCACTGACACAAAGAAAAGTAGGTTTAACTAAAGGGGGCCAAAGAGAAAAGAGAGAGACACCCACAAGCAATAGCGGAAGTTTTATAGTATGAACAGAGAAAATGAATATGAAGCGGAAAGATGAGCTGCACCTTAATAATTAGTGAGGAAAAACTGAAAAAGCATAAAGCAAGTGATGTTGACGTCTTTTGTGGAAACTGAACTGGGTGGCACATGCTAAACCAACATTAGCAAGCTCCTTTTTTTTTCCATCTTTTTGGTAATTTTTCTTCTTCTCCCTTCTTCCCCACAAGCTGTTGTCCGACCTTCCCTTATCTTATCACATTTTCTATAACTTTAATCTTCCTTCTTTTTCATCACTAAAGTTGGTCACATCAAGCTTAAGACTCTTAATCCCCTTGTGTTTTTTCTTCATCTTCCATTTCCAACATAAATCTTAAAAAATAAAACTACCTCTTAGAACTCATGAATTTTACTTTTAAAGTGACTTGTAAGTAAATTTTGAGAAAGTTATAACAATTTGTAAGAAAATAAATTGCTTAAGCAAATTTGCTAATAAGCTTATACTCCATATTAATATGTCTATTAGTAGCATCAAACTTGAAATTAATTGACAATAAATAAAATATCACATAATATTATAAGTTAAAATTTATTTACATATAAGTTTTATACACTATATTTATATAAACTCTTAATCATTCAGTGTAAACACTTATGATTAAGTGTACATGCTTTCCCTTTATTAAGGGGTATGGGATTTTTCCATATAAAACCATCAAAATCTCATAATTAATCTCATAAATCCAACTTGAAAAAGCATAGTCCCACACGTCCGAACTAGGATTGTAACACTTCCAATGATCCTGACCTCAAAATATTAGTGACTAACCACCTTCCTAATTAATTCCCTTCTCCTTTTAAATTGCTCATCCACTTTGAATTGCGGACCTAAAATCAATAATGCCGGCGGTTCACTCTAGTCCATACTACCAAATGCAGAATCCACCCATCATGTCTTTACTCCAGCCAGATTCAGGGGGGAAACAGAGGAGGCCAAAGTCATCATTCAGCGGTGGACTATTGCGTATATTCAAGCTCTTCCCTATGTTAACGTCTGGCTGCAAGATGGTTGCGCTGTTGGGCCGTCCTCGGAAGCCTTTACTGAAGGATAGTGCCACCACGGGGACGATCTTCGGGTACAAGAAAGGCAGAATCTTTTTAGCAATTCAGGAGGATCCCTACTGCTTACCGGGGTTCCTGATCGAACTTCCGATTCTGACCACCGCGCTTCAGAAGGAAATGGCGTCGGACATAGTCAGGATTGCACTGGAGAGCGAGACAAAGACGCACAAGAAGAAGCTGCTGGAGGAATTCGTCTGGGCGGTGTATGTTAACGGCAGGAAAACAGGGTACTCTATCAGGAGGAAGCAACTATCGGAGGAGGAACTTCATGTGATGCAGCTTCTCCGGGGAGTTTCGATGGGTGCTGGAGTGCTTCCATCTCCGAACGAGAAGGAGACAGCGGACGGGGAATTAACGTATATGAGGGCGAGGTTTGAGAGGGTGGTGGGATCAAAAGACTCAGAAGCTCTGTACATGATAAACCCAGATGGAGCACAGGGGCCTGAATTGAGTATTTTCTTTGTAAGAGCACATTAGAATTTTGTAGAAGCACTTGTATAACCTGAACAATATATGTTTAATTCTCCAAGTTCTTGACCCAATTTCACTCCTTCAATCATCTGCTATAATTATTCAAACACATTTGAACACTGACCTTAACTCTTCCAGACTAAAGTCATAATTCGGATTCAAAAAATATCCTTACGAATCTTGTCCAGTTGCTTTTCAAGTTAAAACCCTGTTTTAGGCTTCTTCTCTTTTCTATGCTAATGTGGTGTGATTTTGTAAGAAGTTGTACCGCACTCACTTTGTTGTTCAACTTTGTTTGACCAGTTCTTTTTTTTTTTCAATAAGAGAAGGATATATTATAATAATTAATTGATACAAATTTATATTTATTTATAATTATTATTCTTTAAATATACATATTTATTTAAATGTATATTGTAATTATTTTTTAAAAATAATAATAATAATGATTTTAAATGACACTTTTAAGTAAAAAAGTAGACAATTAATTTTAAAGAAAAATACAATATGCACTAAGCTAGCACACAAGCACCCCTACTCCCATTAGTCTCTCCTCCATTTATTATATTTATTTTTAATCTTTTACTTAAAGATAAAACGTGCTGCTAGCATTTCTCAATTTTAAATTAATGTCTCTAATTAAAAAAATAGAAGAATTAAAATTGAATAAAGGAAATACTTGTACGTATGAGATGCAAATTTAGACATCAACAAAAAAAAAAAAGAAGCATTGTCGGCTTGATTTTTGTTGACTTACAATTTTGAATATTTTATTATTATGGAGTTAAATCAAACTCCATTGAATTGAATTGAACATAAAGGAGAAACTTTCTTTTTGGTAGTAACATCAAGAAGAAACTACATTCGTTCTAAAAAATATCAAAGACAGGACATCAAATGAAAAAAGGTTAATTAATAAATTTAGTCCCTGAACTTTGACTAATTTTAGTTTTTAAATTATTTTGTTTATATTTTATTTGTTAATTATAAAAATATATATTTTTAATTCTTCTGTTAATTTTATTTATTAAGTCTATATAGTTGACACTTTTTTTTATTTTAAACTTTTGTTTTATACATTTTTTTAGTTCTTAAATTAATATTTGTTATTCATTTTTAGTTCTTAAATTTTAAGTTCAAAGACCAAAATGATGGCACCTATATAGATTTAACTAAAAAAATTGATGTAATAATTAAAATATATATTTTTTTAATATTAAATAATGAAAAAATATAAAGAATAATTCAAAAATAAAAATTATTTAAAATTAAAAGTTTCGGTGCTAAATTTAGTTTTTAATCAATAAGAAAGACAGACCGACAGGCCCATGTTTGTTTGAATGAAAACTAAAAGCCCACATCAGATCACAAGCCTATTTATTGCCTGCAGGCCTGCCCCAGCAACGTTACATTTAAAAAAAAAAAAAAATCAAGGGTCTGCCACTATAGAAAGCACAATAAACTTGCTCTATGGTATGTTAGTATGTTTATTTATTTGTTTATTTTTATTTATTTTAAATTGTATAATAATGGATAATTTTTTTAAATTTTTTTAATATATTTTTATTTGTATGTCATATGATTTTAATGCAATACTTTTTATTTTTATTAAAAAAAATTATTACTAAATTATTTAAATTTTTTATATAGTAGGTTGGGTTTAAAAATGTTGAAGAGAGAAATACATTTTCTCCCTAACTTTCTTTAAAAAAAATGAGACACATAAAATTCAATTAATCTTATAATAAAATCTTATAATAATTATTATTAATCTTGTTTTAAACAAATCTCATGATTCCGTAAACATAAAAACCTTGGATATTACTTAAATGTTGTCCAAGAATTCAAAATAGATTGTATGTGAATTAAATTAATCTGTATTTTTTTCATATGAATAGCAACGGACCCTGAATAATTGACTGTTTGGGCTCTCTCAACAATTGAAAACAAATAGGTTTTTCTTATTAAAAATTATATATTTTTTCAAGTTAGACGAACATTTTACATAATAAAAGTACAATCTAAATTATTAATTAATTAAAATATTTGAAATAAAATTTTTTATTATGTTACTTTATTAATAGAATTTTATTAATTTTAATATCTAAACTATATTTTTAATATGTTGTTTGACTAGAAAAATATAAATCTAGCATTTATTTGACAAAAAAGATGTTTTATTTTTTTTTAAATTTTAGATTACACAATTAAAAAATAATTTTTTTAATATTTTAATTTACCTTACTTGCATGCAATTCAAATTAAAAATCTCTTAATTCAACTTTAAAAAAAAAAACTACCATTAAATTATTTATATAATTAGCAACAAAAAAAAAATTATGTAACATTTACATTATTAAATGAAAAATAAACCCCCTAATATTGAAACTATTATTTATCACCTTATTTAACCGTTTTTGTTTTGTTCTTCCGATTGTAATGAGAAAGTCTTCGTTCAGGTTCATGAATTGTGCAACAATTAAAACGAGAGGGAAAAAGAAACCATAACCAGTGGTTTTGACAAGTAGGAAGAAGACAATTTACCCAACCCCACGCGGAGTTGACTGTTTGAGCCAACCGGCAAAGTGATAGGAAGGGGGACAATGCGGGGCCCCGCCGTAGAAGATCAAGCGGCTCAGAGAGAATCTTGTTTGCTGCACACATAAAATATCTCCTGAACTTAAGTTCCAAAAAAAAAAAAATATCTCCTGAACTTCAGGGTCTAATTCGGGGGTCTCACTCCTCTCAGACTCTACAACCGTCAGTAGACAATTATTAGTGTCCGGACGATTCTGTGTTTTTTTTTTAAATAATTTTTTTGGTATTTGATAATTATATTAAATCTTAATTAATTTAAAATTGAATTACGTCGAATCTTATTAAAAAAAATCTTTTAATATTTATTTTTTTATTTATAAAATTTAAATTTTAAATTTTATTTAAAAAAAATTGAGTTCATTCCACTCCAACCAACAAAGTGTTGATCCGAACGATTTTGTTTGCCTGTCGAAAAACACGGTATCTAAAATAACCAAGTCGGTGCGTCATGGTGATTGGTGGTAGTGGTGGTGGTGCCAGCTGCACCTGCACCATCCAACTGCCCAACTGCCACTTGCTAAAAATTTCACCACTAGGCCCATCACTAGATCCAAAATCCATTAATGGTTCATATCAAATGGTTATGATTTATTATTTTGAGACGGAAAGGGTAATATGTTTTGTAAATTTACTTTTTATAATTTTAAAATAATAAATATTTTTTTAATTTTTTATTTAAAAAATTGAAAGAAAATTTATAATTTTACTTATATTATTTTTAAAAAATTAATAATAATTATTATTATATTTTATGATAAAACAATATTTTTATTTTAAATAGCTGCATTTTTATTTTAAATTTATTTAAATTAATAATCCAATTTTTTATATTTTTAAGATAAATAATTTTTTTATACTTTAATCATATTATTATTAATTTATTTTAATCAATTATCCTATTTTAAAAAGTCATATTTAATATTTCAACTTTTTTTAAAAAATAATAACAATTTTATAGAATAATAAAAATTAATCTGTATTGTAAAATTTTAAATAAAAAAATATTTAAAAATTATATTATTTTAAAAATATTATATTAGACAAAATTAAAATATTCTAATAATTTTAAAAGTAAAAATGAAAATATTTTAATTTTTTTCATAATATTTTATTAAAATAATATAATTTAAAATATCTTATCTAAATTTTTTTATAAATTCAATTAATAAATATTAATCTCATAATTTTAAAACAAATTTTAAATAATAAAAAATCGCTAGTCCTTTGGAAGAAAAGGAGTACACGTTTACATTACATTGATTGTAACCATAGGCTATACTATTTCCGCAATAAAAATGAAAAGAAAGGAGTATAGTTCGGTCGATCCACACACTACGTCTTTGAAAAGTGTGATATAGGGACACAGATAAAACATAAGACAAACGCCCCGTTCGGAGGAGTGCAGTTGGCTGTTTGTCTTGGATAAAACTAAAAGTCTAAAAGTCTAAAACCCCCACAAAGTCAAAGGGATTCAACTGACTGCTATCACGTGAGATTCTTACAGCCTGTAAGTGGGTCCATCCAACGTGGATAAGTTGAAGCCATCTTTAAACTAGTTTATTTATTTTAATAATCATTTATTGATTCTAATAAAAAATTTTAATTTTTTTAAATAATATTTTAATTTTAAACTTTGTTAACGAAGAAATTGATATTAAAATGATTTTTTTTATAAGATTTGACATGATTTTAAATTAATTAAGATTTAATATAATTTTTAAATATAAAAAATTATAAAAAAACTGATTTATTATTTTTTTAACTTAAAAAAAATTTAAAAAAAAAAACTAAAAATAAATTTTAAAATTTTCACGTTGAGACGTATCCGCAACAAGAGAATAATTACTAAGTCACACAGTATCTGACAAAAACTGATTTATTTTAAGTGACTGTGTTTTGGGCTTTAGTTCAGGGGCCGTTGATTTCCCAGTAACTGAGGAGCTGCGGATTGGGGACAATTTACAGCTGTAAATATGACGAGGAAAAATTAGTCAAAAAAAAAGGATGGACCCACTTTCTATTTGTACAAAAACGTTTGTTAAATATGTGTTTCACAGCTCTGCGTTTCCTGTCATGTTTTAAACGCTCCTCATCAAAACTTCCTCTGCCACAGGATTAATTTCATTATTTCTATTTTCTCCTTTTCATCCCAAGATTCGTTTGTCCCCTCTGACTTCCTGTTTTGCCCTTGTATTTTCGAAGGAATTGCAATGATTTTTCATGAAATCTATTTTACTTTCTCTCTTACGTACTCATTTTCTGTTTTTAGCCATCTAACGTACTCTTACTTAACAAAGTAATTTTTGAACAAAATATTTGTCCAAATAGAACTTTATTTT